TGAAGGACGCGGGGCGCTTCAAACTGAGGACCCCCTACCCCCCCCTCCCTCCTTGCCCCTACGTTACCGACCGCCCGAGGGCAGGGCGTCGGGCAGGGTGTCGGGCAGGGCGTCGGGCAAGGCGTCGGGCAAGGCGTCGGGCTGGGCGGGCCCGACTCGAGCTCGAAGCAGGGCGTCGGGCGCAGCGTCGGGCACGGCGGGAGGCAGGCAGGAGGCAGGAGGCAGGAGGAGAAGGAGGAGGGGGGGGAGGAGGAGGCTGAAGAGGATGAGGAGGAGCAGGAGGAGGAGCAGGTAGGAGGAGGAGGGGTAGGAGGAGGAGGAGGAGGAGGAGGAGGAGCAGGAGGAGGAGGATAAGGAGGAGGAAGAAAAGGAGGATCGAGGGGGGGAGGGGGATGGGGAGGGGCACTAGGAGGAGGAGGAGGAGGAGGTGGAGGAAGAAAAGTAGGAGGATCCAGGAGAATGAGGAGGAGGAGGAGGAGCAGCAGGAGGAAGGAGGAGGAGGATGGTCATCATCTTAACTCCACCATGACCATCACCATCATCATCTGAACCCCCAGCGTCACCATCTTCAACTACCACCACCACTACCAACACCACTACCACCAGCACCACTACCACCATCACCATCATCATCACAACTACCAGCACTACCACTACCACCATCACCATCACCATCACCATCGCCATCATCATCTGAATTCTACCTCACTCTCATACACACCACCACCACCACCATCCGAACTCCCAGCATCATCACTGAACCGAACTCTCGCCAGCGTTACCATCAACACTGGACATCGTCATCACACCAACAACATCGTTACTATAACTCAACGTCATCACTGAATAGCGTCATCAGCACTTGGGAATTCAAAGAACCTTAAGAAACTCGTTGGAACTTCAAAGAATCACAGAAAAACTCGTTGGGTGCGGCAGGTGCAGGCGCTGGGCTCCTACCTCTCTCCTCCTCCTCCTCCTCCTCCTCCTCCTCCTCCTCCTCCTCCTCCTCCTCCTCCTCCTCCTCCTCCTCCTCCTCCTCCTCCTCCTCCTCCCCCCCTGTGGGGGCCGGGGGCTTCCGCTGAGGTCCCCGACGAGCGCTTCCGGGCGATGCTGGAGGACCACTTCGCGGCCTCCTCGGGGGCAGGCGCCCCGCACGGGGCCCGCACGGCAGGACACGCCCCCCTCCCCCGGCCAGTGGTCGCATGGGCTCGGGTGCGACGGCAGCGGGGGATCGGCCCAGGGGGGAGGAGACTATCGGGCTGGACGAAAGGGGGGGATTGGGAAAGGGGGGGGTACGGAATTTGCTGCATGCAGCTGGTTTCGGCCTCACCGAGGGGCCCATTCCTCAATACATGGCCGCCTCCGGCGCTGGGAGGCGCAGGGAAAATCAGCTACGTGAGCTGATTCTCCCCCCCCCCCCTTTGCTACCCCCCCTTTCGCCCGACCGGAGGCTACCGAAGGAGAAATCACGCCATTCACATGATTTTGTGATGCTCCGCGCGGGTTTCTTGGATCTGCGCTGGACCCCCCTCCCTGTCTGTCGCGCGAAGCGCGCCAGGGGCGCGCCGGGGGGGCCAGCGCAGATCCAAGGAATCCGCGCGGACCGTCGAAAGTTTATACGTGTGCCGATGTTCCTTCTTCTAGACTTGGCTCAGGTTCAAGGTTCGACGTTTTCGGACGTTTTCGTAGGTTCTCCGGGCCAAACGGCTGCTGGAGATTCGAGATACGACTTGACAGCCAAGGGGTATCGCTCCGAGCGAGGGAACATCAGTTCCAGACCCGTCCCGGCGGCGGCACGTGCGGGCACGAGCCTCCCCGGCCGCCGCCCCGGAGCGGGCGGCCCCGAGGGCGGGGCAGCTCCTGCATCCGGGAGGGAAAGTAAGAACACGCAGGCACTATCCATCGTCGAGCCCCAAGAAAAGAGTGGAACAGCTTGGAAAAGGTGGGAAGACATTGGAAGGGGGGGGAAGACAAGAGCCCAGAAAGCATGGCAACGGAGAAGGAGTCTCCTGTTGTCGGCGTCTGTTTATCCATGTGTCCCAGGGCCCCTCCACGGGCCCCCGCCCGCGAGCCCGGCCCAGGCGGCAGCTTCGCGGCCGGCGACCTCGCGAGGCAGGTGTCGGGCGAGCGCGGGCGGGAGGCCGCGCGGCGCGCGCCTGCCGGCGGCGGCGGCGGGGGAGGAGGAGGAGGAGGGAGGGGAGGAGGAGGAGGAGGAGGAGAGGAGGAGGAGGAGGAGGAGGAGGAGGAGGAGGAGGAGGAGGAGGAGGAGGAGGAGGCTGTCTCGGGCGAGCGCCCACCGTCGCCGCGGTCTCGGGCGAGCGCCCGCCGTCGCGGCCGCCGCCGCGGTCGCCATCGTTCAGGAGGAGAAAAACACACACACACACAGACACAACTCATCGTCGATTCCCCAGAACATATGGGAAACTATGGGCAGTGGGGGGGAAGACAGAAACCCAGAAAATATGGGAAAAGATGGGGACTCCTTTTACTTGTGTGCATGTATCTGTGTGTCCCAGGGCCACTTCATTCTTCGGCTGCGCAAGGTTGGCTAGAGGGGGAAAAGATATCCATACCTCTACCCTCGCCTCGTTTTCCCCTTTTTGGGCCTCCTGGGCGGCCCTCGTCGCCACCGCTGGATTCGCCTCGAGATCCTGGTCAGAGCGCATTCCGGGAGAGCCCGGGAGTAGCGGTATTGGTACCTTTCGGATTCCCCGGTTGGGCCTTTCGCCAGGCTCATAGATGCTGTCACTCTTCGCCTTCTTCAGCGTGTTGGCATGATTGCAGCGCGTTGTGATTGGCTGCCAAGATTCCGCGTCTTGTTGTGATTGTCAATAGTAGCATCCAGCGTTGAATGCCACAGTTTGAAGCATGGCCGCACCACGCATCGCATCCCTTGCATGCGTTCTGCTTCCTCGGCTCACAGTTTCCCCGGTACCTGGGCGCACTTCTGCGGGCCTCCCGTGTCGCACCCCGTGCTCCGTCCTGCCGCTTCGCCCTCGCCTCGCCTCGTCGCCGCCGTGATGTTGTGTTGGTCGGGCCCGTCTTCCTCCGCGTGCCCCCGCTGCCCGGCCGAAGGCCGCCTGCAGCAAGATGGCCCTGTTTCCGGAGGGGGCGCGCCCCGCCCCCCGGGCCGCGCCGCGGCTTTCGCTCTCTCGCCGGCCAGGCAGACTGGCGAAGGCCTCGCGGCCGGTGCCGCCGACCCTGGAGACGGCGACGACGAGGACGGCGAGGATGTCGAGCACCGCTTGGATCCGTCTGGGCGCCTCTTGGGGTCCTCTTGGGGCGCCCCTGGGAGCCTCAGGAACGCCCTTGGGGCCATCTTGTAGGAGATGGACCAAAAAGGAGGGGGTCCTTGATCCGAGGGGGCCGAACCCGCGCCCGGCTGCATCCGCCGTTGCACGCGAGGCCTCCCCGCTCCCCTCGGACGCACCCACGGGGTTCTAAGTAAGCGATCCCTGCACTGCGTCGCATTTTCGGGGGCTTCGTCCGTCCCGTAAATGGCTCTCTCGTTCTATTCGGTGCCCAACGTACGATATGCCAGGCGGAATATATCCACATCCACCGCTTGGGAACCGACTTCCTGATACCCCAGCGGGCGGTGGATATGGATATATTTTGGCCCCCGAGGGCCCGAACATATCCATATCCGCCGCCTGTGGAGGTCCGCGAGGATCGACTCCCCAGGCGGTGGATACGGAGAAACCCCCGCCTCGGATGACAGATGCGGATTCGACGCAGATGCGGCGTGTTCTTGACACGGGCTTGGTGCGGATTCGGCTTTGATTCGGGCGGATTTGGCGCGGACGGCGGCGCAACGGGACAGACACAAAAGCCCCCTGAGGATGCCACAGGACTTGAGCGTGTTTTCGGGCCCCGCCCGTGCCAGCGCTGTCTCGGCACCTGGAACGCCTGGTCAGGGCGCAAGATCTAGGAAAGCTTGATGCTGAATCGGCGCTGGTATTTCACTAGTTGAATGCTGGCTGAAATCATGGTGAAGCTGACCGAATCCCGTCTTATCTGGCTAAATCCCGGGCTTGATTTGGGCGAGCCCAGCCCAAACAGCCCAGATTCGTTCTGACAAAGACGTCCCAAGAGTTGCCTCCTAAGCCTGGTGGTTCTCGATGAGAGAACAGCGTCCCGGCGTGTCTACAAAAAACAGGGTCGGGCAGTGGGCGATGCGGTTTGTGAGAAGACATGGCGTGATTCGAGTTGTCTCGAGACGTGCACGCGCTGTGCAGCGCCCGGAACTCACTCGCGATGACCCGAGCAAAGGCTTTGAATTCACACGGGAGTTGGTAATGCTAGCTGCAGCTGGCGCCAATTGCTATCGTTCGTCACCGTGCCGGAGGGAGGCGCTGCGCCCGCGTGCTCTCAGCGCGCTGTTTTCCAGGGCGTCGCGGCCGACGCCCGGCACCCCAAGGATCCGGTTCCCGTCTGGCTGTGTGGCACATCGCCCAGACTTGATGGGCCTGTCTTCCATCACCACCACCACAGGCTGGAGGGGGAAGGAGGTGGAGGATGAGGAGGAGAGGGAAGAAGAGGAGGAGGAGAAGGACCCCCTCCCCCTCCTGCTTATGGTGGTGGCCGTGAAAAAGCAAGCCCACCAAGACCGGCGGGCTCAGTCGCGCCTTCCGTGGCAAGCACACTTAGCGGCTTGGTCTGCAGGGAGCCCTCGTGAGCCCCAACAACGTTTGTGGCACCCGACCAGCCGCGGAGCGACGGCCCGTGCCCTTCCGAGTGTCCGTCCTCCTCCTCCTCCTCCTCCTCCTCCCCCTCCTTCCCCTCCTCCTCCTTTCCCTCCTCCTCCTCCTCCTCCTCCTCCTCCTCCTCCTCCTCCTCCTATGAGGGTCTCTAGCAGGAGTCTTCGCCGTTGTACTCGAAGCCGGCGCGGGGGTTAGGAAACATCCAGCTTTGGAGGGACGGCCTCGTCCATCTCGTGTTGGCTCTCTCCGCCTGGCAGTGTCCTTCCACTGGGGCATTTGGGTAGCACATCACGGGAGCCTGGTATGCCCTCTTACTTCCGCCTCTAGCGTCGATTCGCGTCGATCGGCGTCTGGGGGTCGATGAGATAGCGTCGGCTAGCGTCGATTCACATCGATTCAGCGTCGGTTAGAGCATCGATTTAGCCTCGAGTAGCGTCGATTTAGCGCCGATTAGCGTCGATTCGTAAGAGTCGACGAGGTGGTGCGGGAGGCTCCCATGAGTTGCCACCGAAAGTTTCGAAGGGGTGCGCTCAGTCGTCTTGCGCTGGCTCTCCGCTTTGGCACGTTTTTGTTAAATTGGGGCATCTTCACGGGGGTCTTTGACGTCGGCGAAGGGCTCATGTTCGCGGCCCGCGTTCTCGTGGCCATGTTTTGATTGTGCTCGCCGCACCCTTGGCAAATACTTTGGACTCGATCAAGGAAGGCTTCGGTAGCAAATCATGCGAGCCTGGTATACCCTCTTCAATTCGTCTTCGGCGTCGATTAGTATCTGGGAGGCGATGAGTTAGCGCCGATTTAGCGTCGAGTAGCGTCGATTCAGCGTCGACCAGCGTCTATTAGCGTCGATTTAGCGTCGATTAGCGTCGATTCTCAAGAGGCGACAAGATGGTGCGGGAGGCTCCCATGAGTTGCCATCAAACTTTTGAACTCGATCAAGGAAGTCCCAAACAGAGTCAACCACGTAGAAGCATCTCTAGCGTCGCGCCCCTTCCATCCCATCTTACCTGGTCGTCGCGCAAAGATCACAACGGATTATGTTTTCGGGTTCTCGGTCTCAGGACAAAGTTTCCTGGCCCCAGGACAGTCGAACAGCAATTCAGGATTAAAAACGGGCCGTGGGGAAGGGGTTGAGAATCTTAGGGGCCTACGTCTTTGGGAACAGATCACCACGCCGGAGGTCTGAACTGGTCTGATCCTCTCCTTTCCCCCTCGTCGTCGTCCTCCCGATGCCCCCTCGTCCTCCTTCCCCTCGTCGTTGTCCACATCCTCTCTTTCCTCCTGCTTCACCTCCTCCTCCTCCTCCTTCCTCCTCCTCCCTCCTCCTCCTCCCCTCCTCCTCCTCCTCCTCCTCCTCCTCCTCCTCCTCCTCCTCCTCCTCCTCCTCCTCCTCCTCCTCCTCCTCCTCCTTCCTCCTCCTCCTCCTACTTCCTCCCCCACCTCGGCACCTGTGCCACTGGGACCTCTTCCCTGGAAAACAGGCGGGTAGCAGCCCGATCGTCACCGTGGTTTGCCCGTAGGGGGCCAAGGGGAGAGAAAATTGCTCTCGTCGCCAGCGACCACCCATGGAGTGGGTGGTGGGTAGGTTGGGCGTCGGAGCACGGACTCCTGCGCCCCCTACCCCGAACAGGGCGCGCGGAGCACGGTCTCCTTGCGCGTCCAGTTTCGCGCATTTCGCACGCCACGGGGGCATGGCCCAGACCGTTGGCGCTGCTATGGCTGCTGGAAGCAGCATACGCCCTGGTCGCTCGTCGCGCGGCGCCCTGGGACATTTCAGCACGGGGTCCTGTTGAACAAATTCCTCCTCCTCCTCCTCCTCCTCCGCCTCCTCCTCCCTCCTCCTCCTCATCCTCATCCTCCTCCTCCTCCTCCTCCTCCTCCTCCTCCTTCCTGGCAGCCCGCGGGCGGGCCCCGGAGGTCTCGGCCCCCTCTGCCAGGGGCACCTTGTCGCCCCCCGCCGCCCGCGTTCCCGACCCTGCCGGGGGCCGACGCGGAGGAGCCAGCGCCAGGTCGGGAGAGCCGTCGGGCTGGAAGTGGGCCCCTCGGCCCACATCCAGCCCGACTGGTTCCCCTCCTTCCCCTCCTCCTCCTCCTCCTCCTCCTCCTCCTCCTCCTCCTCCATCCTCCTCCTCCTCCTCCTCCTCCTCCCCCTCCCCTCCTCTCCTCCTCCTCCTCCTCCTCCTCCTCCTCCCTCCTCCTCCTCCTCCTCCTCTTCCCTTCATCCTCCCCCTATTCTTCCTCCCCCTGCCTTCCTCCCCTTCCCTCTGCTTCGTCCTCCATCCTCTTCTTCTTCTTCTTCTTCATCCTCCCTGCGTTCCTTCCTCCCTCCATCTTCCCCCTCTCCCTCCTCCCCCCCTTCCCTCCCACGGCCGCGAGCGAGGAGGGGCAGGGAGAAGGGGCGGACCTCCGCGGCAGCCCAGGCGAGGGTGGAGTGGCCCGCGGACGACAATCCGTGGCCCCTCGTCTCCATGCGGAACGCGGGCGCCCCGGCCCCCGCGCGCCGGCGGGGAGGACGGGCGGCGCCCGCTGGGGCCCCCTACGGCTGCTCCACGCCCGACGGCCCGCGCCCGGCGGGTTTTTCTACCTCCTGCTGCCCCATTTCCTACTCCCTCCTCCCACCTCCTCCTCCTCCTCCTCCTCCTCCTCCTCTTCCTCCTCCTCCTCGGCTGCCCTGCCCTGCTCTGCGCGCTGCACGGCACGGCGCGCGCGCGGGACACCGCAGCCGTTGGGCCCAGAGGAGGACCGATGGAGTCCGAACCGCGCCGCCGGCGAGAAGTGGTGGACATCGGTAATGCGCCAAGGGCGGGGGAGAAAGCAGCGGGCCCGTGTCGGAGGTTTGTGCTGGTGGCCTGCCTCAGGGGAGCGAGCGGTGACATAAAATTATCCCAGTGCGACCCGACCTAGGAGTTGGACCCCCTAGGAAAGCAGCATTAGTAGTAACAGTAACGCTAAGCTAAAGCTAAGCTAGAGCTAAGCTAAAGCTAAGCTACAGCTAAGCTTAAGCTAAACTGCAGCTAAGCTAAAGCTAAGCTACAGCTAAGCTAAAGATAAGCTAAAGCTAAGCTAAAGCTGAGCAGCAGCTAAGCTAAAACTAAGCTACAGCTAAGCTACAGCTAGGCGAAAGGTAAGCTGAAGCTAAGCTAAAACTAAGATCAAGCTAAGCTAAATCGAAGCTAAAGCTAAGCTACATCTAAGGTCAAGCTAAGCTACAGCTAAGCTAAAGCTGTGCTAAACGCTAAGCGAACAGCTAAGCGAAACGCTAAGCTAAAGCTAAGCTACAACTAAGCTAAAGTTAAGCTAAAGCTAAGCTAAAGCTACGCTAAAGTTAAAGCTAAAGCTCCCAGGGGACTGGGGGGAACCGCTGGGCGGGGACTGGGGGAACCGCCCGGGGCGCTTTGCACTGCCCGGCCCCTTTAAGCTAAGAGAGTAAGAACCCTTCTAGGCAGAGCCTAGGTAGGGAAATAAGAACTCGGAGGTCCGCGCGGCTGTGTCGCATCGGCGCTTAGGCCCCCCTCCCTGACGCGCGGAGCTTGCCAGGGGCGGCGCCGGAGACGCCGCCAGGGGGGTCCAGCGCGGATCCGAGAAATCTGCGCGGACCTCTGAATCGTTATGTTTATGTCAGTGTTCGTTCTTTTATGCCTGGGGCCCACATGACGGATCCGTTCGGCTTCACTGTGGTGCAAAAATTATGTGGTCCCATCTATGGGATGCGGCCTGTGAAAGTGCAGTCTACCAGATGCAACATAAGTTGCGCACTCTACGCGATGCCATGAGATGGTTCTTGTGTCCGTCGTGCAATCTGCGGAGCGCAATCAAGAATGAATACTTTGAAGTCGGCAACTCCTTTGCTCATGCAACAATGCCACACATTCGGGCGGGCGGAGCCGCGGTTAGCCCCTGACCCAGCAAATAACATGTCGGCATGAGAAGACGGTCTTTGGTCCTGGGAGACCGCGGGTCTTAGACCCATTTCCATCAGGACCATCGTCATGTCTTCATTGTGAGATGCGTAATCCTGATTGGGTCGACCGGCCGGCTGGATAGGTCAGGATCCCAGGCAGGAGGCACGCGGCATGTGGGAGGTGTTTAGAACTCGCATCATGCATAGTGAGCCATGCAGTGGAGGGGACGGAGGATTGACGAGGAGCAGGATACGTACAAAGAGAGGGGAGGAGGAGGAGGAGGAGGAGGAGGAGGAGGAGGAGAAGGAGGAGGAAGAGGAAGATGAAGAGGAGGAGGCGAAAGATGAGGACGGTATCGCGCAGAAGTAGGAGGCGGGGCAGAAACGCAGGAGGAAAAAGCTGCGTCAGCTGGATGGGGATACAGTGCATGGGGATTCTGGGCCACGGAGTGTTGACTCTCCGATGTGGACCAGGGGCTGCGAGGGGTCGGGGGAGAGGGGGGCAGGAGAGGCCGCAGGCTCGCCCCAAGGTCTACATTTTCGCGGGCAACCCGAAAACCTTCCGGTGCATGTTCCAGCGGGCCGCACGCGACGGCCGATTCGAGGACCCTCGGATCATCATCGTGGAGTTGAAGTGGAAGAGTTGTGATACAGTCAACCCGTACAGTAAGGATGCAAGGATGCAAGGGTCCAGGACGCCCACTGTGAAGCTTTTCGAGCAGGGCGTGGCCAGCGAAAGCGGCGAAGGATGGACCGAGGAGGCAAGGATGCAAGGGTACCCTTGGGAAGGTTGCCCATCCTTACTGAGCGGGTTGACTGTAAGTCATGTCATTGGCCGCGCGGGTAGAAGGGAGTGGGAACAGGGTAGCACGCATGCAGAGGGCACCACCCATCTTTACCCGCACAGTCCTAATTAGCCTGGTCGTGCCGACGAGGGGAGACGATGTGATGCTCATGACCGGTAGCTACTGGCCTGGTTGTAGAATATGTTGGCAGTCGGAGGTCAACAGTAGGCTCGAATATGTGGTGTCATTGTGCGACCAACCGCTCGAGTCTCAGGTAGCGAGTGCTCCTAGAAAAAGGATCTTGCATTGTAACACCAGCCGCTATAGCAATCAGGTCAGCTGTGGCCATCAGTCCCGCGAAGTAGCAACATCCGCTGGGGACGACATGGTGGACTGATTTCGACGTGTGTAGGGCGAGATTGGGACGTGACACCGCGTGAACAGCTTCAGTGGGTGGAGGGTCGAGCAGCGAGGCCGGCAAGAGCAGCGCAGCAAGAGAGGAACCTGGAACAGCCGAGCGAGTTCGCGCGGTGATGGCAGGTGGACGGCTGGAGCAGGACGAGGGCGAGGCGCATGGAACAGCAGGAGGAGCGACGGACTGGACGCATCCTGAGTCGACGCTCCCGTGCCGCGCGACGGCCGCAGCCCCGGAGGCCCTTGAGCTCCCGGGGCGTGCCCGGGGGGAGTCGCAGGGCGCGGCGGGCCCACGAAGGCCTGACCTCCCAAGTCGAGGAGGCGCAAGCAGAGACTGCGAGGCGCCCGGACTGGGTCGTCGTTGCCTTACGCGTTGTTTTGCCCATCGGCGTGGGCCTTCGCACCCCCCCCCCGCCTTTCCCCTCCCTGGAGCAGGTCTTGACTGTTTCGGGCACCTGCTTCAAGCAGGCGGAGGCTCCCCCATAGGACGCACTGGTGCAGGCAGTCGCACCATGCAGCGGTCCGGAGCCAGACCCCCCCCCGTTCCCCTTCCTTCATGCCAGTCTAGAAACGCCGAGTAAGAAAGCGTTCACTATTGGCGACGGGTCCCGCCTGCATACGGCATCCACGCGTTCCGTTTTTAAATCGGGCGGCATGGCCTTCCTGTTTCGGGTGCAGCTTCCCCGATCCGTTGTCCTGGGCCCACGCGCTGGATGCACGGATCCGTAATACATGATTGCGTTCGGTAGCAAATCATGGGAGCCTGGTATACCCCCTCAATCCCGTCTTCAGCGTCGATTAGCGTCGACCAGCGTCTGGAAGTCGATGAGATGTGCCGATGTATCGTCGGCTAGCGAGGCTTGGCGTCGATGTAGCGTCGATTAGCGTCGATTCGCAAAAGCCGGCAGGATGGTATGGGAGGCTTCCATGAGTTGCCACCGAAGCTGCGCGTGCACGACCAAGGTCGGCGGCCTTCAGGACGTGAATTCCGCCGACAGCGCACAGACCGTGTCGGCCCTCCTTGCGCAGCCTGCATCGCGCCGAAGGGCTTTGGTGGACAAGCACACATCGGTGCCAAGACACATTTTGGAGATCGCCGCAGATGACGCGTGCTCGCGCCGTCTCACGAGGCAAGCCTCAGTCGCGTGCGCCTGCGGGCCGCCGCCTCGGCCCAGGTGGGGCCAGAGCGAGGCGGCGCCCGCCAAAGTCTCCTGGGCCCCACCGCGCCCGTGCTCCGGCGCGGGCGCCTGCACCGTTGGCGGGATGTCTGCCTGCGTGCTGGCCTTCCGCCGGCGGCCGCCGAGGGAGGCGCCTCGAGGGCGAGGCCCTGCCCAGACCTGCGCTCGCGCCTCTGCCGCTTTCGGCAGCCGGGAGCCCTCGCCGGGCCCCATTGGGGCCGTCCAGAGCCGCGCGGGGCGAAGCAACATTGGGGAAAGGGTCACGACTCCTGTGGACCCCGCATCGATCGGGGAGACGTAAGAGTCGAGTAAGCCGGAATTCGGGCTGGCTGACGTTGCTTGACGAGCGCGTCCTGGATGTTGACGGTCTGGTTTCCGTGGGATGTTTGCAGCGACAGGCCTCGCCGAATTTCAGGTTGGGTCTTGTCATGTTCATGATGGCCTCGTCAGGCCAACCCGAGACCCCCGTACCCGGAGTCGTGCGTCCCCCCGACTTGAGAAATCGAGACACTGCATGTTCTGGTGCTTCTGCAACTGCCCAGCAGGGTGGCTGCCTGTCGAGTGGGGAGAGGCTCCCGCCCCCCCCAGGGCCCGCAGCGGCCCCTGTCGCACCTGCTGTGGCTGGACGCGGGCGAGGAGGAGGTGCTCGGCGAGCTGCAGGGGAGCCTGCGCGCGCGGCGCACGCGCACGCGCCCGACGACGACGACGACGACGCCGGCGACGACGACGACGGCGACGACGACGACGACGACGACGACGACGACGACGACGACGACGACGACGACGACGGCGACGGCGGCGGCGGCAGTTGCGGCGACGACTACGACGACGGCGGCGGCGACGACGACGACGACCACGACGACGACGACGACGCGCAGACGGCGGCGGCGACGGCGGCGGTGCGGCTCGAGCGAATCGGCCAGGCCGGCCTGGCCGATTCGCTTGAGCCGCACGCAGAGGCGGGCGGGACGAGCAGCCTGGCTTAGGCAGGGACGCGCCGTGGCACAGGGTCACGGGGATGGATTCTCGGCGGGCTTTTTTGCGGGGCAGCGGCGACGGCTGCGGCGACAAGGAGGAAGAGGGGGCGGGGGAAGGGACGGGAGGAGGCGCACGAGGAGGGGGAGGAGGAGTGCACCCGTGTCATTGGATAGAGAGGACGGATGGGGAAGGCAGGGAGGAGGAGGAGGAGGAGGAGGAGGAGGAGGAGGAGGAAGACAGCAAAGGCATGAGCCGGAGGAGGCATTTGGCTGCCTTCCGCCAGGATGTCCTTGCTCCTTGGCGCCCCAGGTGAACCATGTGCCTACGACGCGGCTGCGTCTTCATGCCCAGCTGTACCGGGCAAGTCCCGCAACCTTGCCGGCACAGCCCCCTGAGTGGCGACTGTTAAGGGGGCGCACAGGAGGCCGTGACGAGTGACACCGTGTGTCCCGAGGCTCGGGAGGGCCGTGACGTGTGACACACTTTTCGGCGCCGTGTCGGGGGCACTCTTCTCGTCTTCCTGCATGTGTTAATTCTTCCTTGGCCGAAGAAGAAAAAGCCACATTAACATAAACGTTTGGCGGTCCGCGCGGATTTTTTCGATCCGCGCCTGGGCCTCCCGGCGGCGCCTCCGTCGCCGCCCCTGGCGCGCGAATCCAAGAATTTCGCGCGGAGCGCCAACAGGTTATGTCTATGTGGTCTCTTCTTCTTCTTCTATTTCGGCTCCTTTGGGGCGTGCCGGGGGCACTCTCCTCGTTTTTTCCCATTCGTCTTCCTCCATTTGTCCATCTTTCCTTGGGCTCCTCTGAGGCAGTCTTGACGATCCCTTTGGGCTACTGTGTTACGATGCATCTTCGGGGGACCTCGCCTGTCCGCCAAATTGTTTTTTTTTGTGCCCGACGCGGGCTTGATGCGGACTCAACGCGGAGTTGGCGTGGATCCGACGCATATTCGACACGGATTCGACATGGATCCGACGAGTCCGACGTGGATTCGACAAGAATTCGACGCGAATAGGGCCGCGACGGGACAGACGAGGTCCCCTGAGGATGTAACATAACATTGTGGGCAGTCTTGGGGCCCTCTTGGGCCGTCTCCGGTCTTTCGTATGGCTCTCTTGTGGCTCTCCTGGTCGTCCAGGGCCTCTATTGCGCCCGCCTTTAGATATGAACTGAGCAGAACAGAGCCGACAATGACGCGACACAATAGATGGTAGAATGCAGCAGCCGCCGACGAGCGGCGCCCAGTCAAGCGCGGCATGCGCGCCGAGCTCGGCCTGCCCACAGCAGCAGTCAGCACTGGACTCGGGAGCAAACGCTCGCGAGAGAAGAGGGGGGCACGGCGCGGGACTCCTCCTCCTCCTCCTCCTCCTCCTCCTCCTCCTCCTCCTCCTCCTCCTCCTCCTCCTCGAGACTGAGAGGTGGCGGGGGGCGGGGGAGGAGGGGAGGACGGGGGCGAAGAGAGCAGCAGCGCTCCCGGGGCGCTTCGCGCGGGATCGGGCGGCTGTCCCTGGGGCGGCCGCCGTGCACCTCCCCTTGTCGGGCGGCCCATCGGAGCCGCCGTGCAGCCTGCCGCCGCGCGGCCGCCCGCCGGTCCTCCTCGCCGCCCCCCGCGCGCGCGCAAGTCAGGAGGGGAAAAGGTACTCCAGATTTCGTAATAAAAGGGAGGGGGTCTGGACCCTCCAAGACAAGCCATTTCAGACCCCCCCCCGTGGGAGAACCCTCCAACACATCGTCCCCAGACCCCCCCAGGCCCTCCAAGATAGCCTGGAAGATACCCCCCCCGAAATGAGACCCCCCTCTCTTTATTACGAAATCTGGAGTAACCATACCTCTACCCTCTCCTCGTTTTCCCCTTTTTGGGGCCTCCTGGGCCTCCGTCGTCGCCACCGCTGGATTCGCCTCGAGATCCTGGTCAGAACGCACCCCGGCAGAGGTCCGGGGAGTAGCGCTATCGGTACCGTCTGGTGTCCCCAGCAAGCGCACGGTTTCGGATGTTTGCGCGGGCCTCGGAGAGCGTGTGTTCATTCGTGTCGTGGTCTGTGTTTGAAGGGCTGGGTGCCTGAAGGCAACGGTTAGTTGAGGGTGCAGCCCTCGGGAGGTTGGGTCGGGCATCGGCTCTGGTAAGTCCAGGGTCGAAGGCCAGCCTGCCCCCGCATAATCCCGACTCTTCTGGCTTCACCCGACTGAGCCCCAGTCTTGATCCAGCCAGATTTGGCTCAATGCCACCGCAATCAGTCTTGACAGGCCCTGCTCGTTCTTGAGGAGGGTCTCCCGGGATGTCCCTCCCAAGTCGGTAGGTGCCCCGATGGACGGAGACAGAGGAGGAGGAGGAGGAGGAGGAGGAGGAGGAGGAGGAGGAGGAGGAGGATGAGGAGGAGAGGGAGGAGGAGGAGGAGAGGAGGAGGAGGATAGGAGGAGGAGGGAGGAGGAGGAATGGGGGAGGGGAGGGAGGAGGAGATGGAGAAGGAGGAGGAGAGACGGAGGAGGAGGAGGAGGAGGAGGAGGAGAGGAGGAGGAGGAGGAAGAGGAGAGGAGGAAAAAGGAGGAAGGGAGGAGGAGAGGAGGAGGAGATGGAGGAGGAGGATGGGGAGGAGGAGATGGAGGAGGAGGGGGAGGATGGGGAGGATGAGAGGAGAATGGAGAAGGATGAGGGAGAGACGGAGAGGAGGAGGAGGAGAGGAGGAGGGAGGAGGATGAGGAGGAGGAAGAGGGGAGGGAGGAGGGACGGAGGAGGAGGATGAGGGGAGATGAGGGAGGGGTGAGGAGGAGGAGGAGAATGGAGGAGGAGGCTGGGTAGGGGGAGGAGAGGAGGAGGGGTGAGGAGATTAGGATGTGAGGTAGTCGGAGGAGGACGGAGTGAGAGAGGGAGGAGGAAAGTAGGAGCGCGGACCTTCGTCTTGCCGGTCCCTCGAGATAGAGGCGAGCGCCACGCTGCGGCGGAGGCGCCCGCGGGGGACCGGCGGATAGAGGCTGCCGGTCCCCCGCGCGCGCGCGTACCGCTGTCAGGACGGTGGACGCCTTCCCCTTCGTGGAGATCGGGCC